TTCTTAAAGCTCCGATATTCTTATTCTCCCTTAATCTTTCTCAAAGCTCCTCTACTTCAAAAATGGCCGATAACAACTCCAACAACCAGCCTTTTGAACCATTCCTGAACCTCTCACTAGCCCAACCTTCCTCCACACAACAGCCTACTCCACAACAGTTGGATCAAGAAGAATTCTTAAATTTAAGAATCCAGTCTCTCAAAGAAAAGGAAGCTCTCGAAAACCAACTCACAAGAGTCCTCAACTGGAGAAAATGGAGATCGGCTCCTATTGACATGCTCTCTCAAGCCACTGCTTTTATCAGAGTAGAAGAACAATTTGTTCTTCAATGGCTTCAAGCCCCAAATGTGGAAACTGCCATGAACATCTCTGGAATTTGGCGAGTCTTCTACGAGAAAATGAAGAATCTCAGAGAGAAGGATCATCAAAGGATGCAGAAGAGGCTTTCCAACTTTGCCCAAGGAGAATCATCAAGCAGAAGGAGAAGGACCGAGTGATTTGTGGATGCTACCAAAAGAGGGGGAAAGAGAGTTTTTAGTAATTAGAACTCTTCTTTTGGCATCATCACAAAAGGGGGAAATTGTTAGACCCCAGATTTTGATGAACTGTTTTTGATGATGCCAAAAGCTTTTGTTTCCCCCCTCTATTGTAGCATTATTATAAGAGTCGTTGTTATCATCTTTTGTAGCATCTTGCAGTTGTCTAGTACTAAGAAAATTATCTAGATGTTTCGTGCTCCTTTTATACAATTAACAAATAAATATGACTGGAAAACCATAAAATGCAATAAGGCAATATTGTATTGCCTTAAAAGGATATCATATAAATCCAACCAGTTAAATTTATTTGTTACAATAACATCTCGCACAAATAAACTATCTATTTTAACTGGAAAACAAAATGCAATAAGGTAATTTTACCTTAATAGGAGTTGATATCCTACCAGTTAGATATTTAGCTTATCATGTTCGAAATACTAGATAAACCATACACTCAAAGGAAGAGTTCGTGATATTCTATTCACTACAACAAATAACAATGTAAAATCTATATAACAAAAAGAACACACTGGGATTCAAAATGAAATAAGGTAAAGTTGTCTTTATCTTAAAGTTGGATATTTAAATCCAACCAGTAAAGTGTTATTTGATATATAGATAAATCAAAGTGAACAAGAATAGTGAACAACCAACTGGAACACAAAATGCAATAAGGTAATAACTTTTACCTTAATAGGATTTGTTATCCTACCAGTTAAGTTGTACACAATACCTGCTAAACTACACAAGTACTTAAAAGTGACAAGAATTCCAATGTACAAACTATGTATCAGATTAAACATACTGGAACTATAAAATGCAATAAGGTAAAAATTATTTACCTTACGTGGATATTTAGATCCAACCAGTATAGCTTTAATTTGGTACATGAGTTTAATCATGTCACTTAAAGAAAGAAAGTGATTAGTAAAATAAGTGACAAATTTTACTGTGAAATTTGTACCAAATAAATTGTACTGGAAAGAACAAAATGCAATAAGGTAATCCTATTACCTTAATAGGATATTTCAAAGATCCTACCAGTACAAAACCTATTTGATACAAAATATTCAAAGTCACACATTTTACTACTTCACTATACAAATTGAGCAGGTTCACGCACTCAGCTTTACAAGTGTAGTTGCAAGACAAGGCTAATACACTCAGAACGCAAGAGGAGAGAAGACATCTGATTAGGTGAATAGTGAAGAGTTTCAGAATAGGCATGCAGCGACAAGAAGGCCTAAAGTATGGGTGTTATCTTCGTACAAAGCAAGTGGTCTTCAAAAGACAAATCCTTATCCTGCTCCAACACAAGAAGACGCAAGTACAATACTTTGGACGTCTAGGATTAAATCCTCTTAACCAACGGAGGAGATTAATCTACTGGAGATGCCTATAAAAATAGGCAGAAGCATGAGATCAAAGGCAAGTCATTGAGTTCAAAGCAAGTGGTTCAGTCATTACACTACGCATATCCAGCAAAAGAAAAAGTGCTTGAACACTCTGCTTTGACTCATGCTTCACTAAGCTCTTAGACTAGATCATTCATTGTAACATTTATAGAGCTTAGGTTTTAGTTGGAGGTTAGACACTTCGTGAATCAATTCATGTTGTTGTAAACACTTAGGAGAACAGTTGTTCGGATCCTAAAGTGTGGTTAGATAGATAGAGTACCTTTTGATCCCCACTGGATCAATTGAGAAAAGTCTAAGGACTGAGTAACTTTGAGTGGTGTTATACTCATTGTGAAAAACCTTCAATCTAGGCCAGAGTTGTCAAGGCTAGATTGGCACTAATTGTATTGGGCTGAATACTTTAGTGGAAATCCATCTGAAATAGGGTGGGACTGGATGTAGGAGGATTACACCACCTCTGAACCAGGATATATCGTGTGTTGATTTACTTTCATACATACAGAAGCACACACCAAACACATCTCACTAAAGGATTGAAGTTTGCCAGCAGCATCCTAAGCAGTAGTCTTCATCGACTGTACTGCTTAGCCTACTGCTTAATAACTCACTCTCCTTGAGAGTGTTTTCCACTAGAAGTTATCTTACACTCAGAAGGTGCCTCAGCAGTACCCTGGTCTTCACCCTCTTGCTGAGCCCACTGCCCATTTATGTGTCTTTCCGAACGCCATAACAAGCCAGAACAAAAAGCCATCCAAGAGTCATCCTGTTCTTAACAGTTGCCTCAGCAGTAACCTGCCCACCAGCCAACTGCCAATTCAGCAGTTGCCTGCCAGTCAGCAAACTGCCTGTGCAGCAGTAGACTAAGCAGTTATCTGCTCACCACTCTACTGCCAAGCCTACTTCCTCTTGTCACCCAGTCTAAACATCATCTAAACTAGAAAGTTATCTCACACCAAGTATAAAGAGGTTAAAGACTTCCGCTGTGCATCTATTAATCTCTTAAAAGATTATAGATCAACTCATCTAGAGGGAAAACTTGACAAAGTTGAAAAAGATTTAAAAGTCTATTCACCCCCCCCTCTAGACTTTTACCTCTATCCGGGACCATCATGATATTCCTCTATGTTGTGGCTAGGACAAGGTTTTCAAAAGACTCAAATGTCTTATTTGATGAGAAAATTGACACTTTCCCCTTCACTATATTTGAGCTCATAAAACAGAGTAGTAAGGACAATATAAGAAAATGAGGTAAACAGTGTAACCAAAGATGTTTACAAAGAATACATGCACTACTCAATAAAGTGATGTCTTCCATCAAAGCCAAATGGCCAATTGATGCATTTGGGTAGATATATATCCAACAAGATAATGCCAAATCATATATAAATCCTAATGAAGTGAGTTCATGAAAGAGGCTGTTCGTGAATAATTTCACATCAATTAGCATGTCAACCACCTCATAATCCTGATGTAAATGTACTAGACTTGAGATTTTTTAGAACAATTTAGTCCTTAAACCAATCATGACCAACCTCATTAGTTTCAGACTTGGTGGTAGGGTGATCAAAGCATTTGAGGAGCTCAACCCTTATACTTTGAACAAGGTTTGGTTATCACTGCACATGTATATAAATGAAATTTTATTGTTAAAGGCAACAACAACTACAAACTACCCTACATTGATAAGGACAAATTACATGGGATTGGGGAACTACCTATCTCAATTCATGCATACAGAACAACAGTGAAAGAAGTCATACAGTTGTTGGATTCGGGTGGCGGCCGAAGCCTTGGCATTTGATTTGCCTTAGGAATGCCATCCCCCGGATTGTGGGAAGCAGCGTGCGCAGTTGGCGTGCTTCGGCATCTGCGCGCTCCGGTTGCTGGCCTGTGGGTTCTCCATTTGACCCGTCTTGAAACACGGACCATAGAGTCTGACATGTGTGCGAGTCAACGGGCTAGAAAACCCATAAGGCGTAAGGAAGCTAATTGGTGCGAGTCATTGGGGTTCCTCTTCTGGTTCCTTTGAATCCAGAAGTACCGGTAGAGGACCAAGAAACTACCCGTTCCTGTACATCTGTAACAGTCACTACAACTGGGAGCAATTTATTTACGATACTTAATTGACATTCATCAAAAGGATCTAATGAATTGTGAGTTTAATAGATATTTTTTAGCAGAAAGACGCATATTCCTAAGTCATGGGAGTCTGGCTCACATAGTCCTGGGAGCCCAGCTCACATTTTCTCTATAAATACTTCCATAGGGGGTCGTTGTAGGGGGTTGAGGAATATTAATTGCAATCTTTCTCTCTCTATCTCTCACTTCTCTCTAGATCAATACTCTATCACAAATCATGCGGGTTCCCTGTTTATGAACGCTCTCCGCACTGCTCACTCGCACACTGTCAAGTGTATTTTTTTTTATATTTGTAGAGCACTCTTATTATGGTTCCAACCCTATAAAGAATCTGCTCCTCGTCTCATCTTTGCCTATTCTGATGCTGATTGGGCAGGGTGCCTAGAAAGCTTGAGGTCTACAAATGGTTATGCTATATTCCTTGGTCATAATCTTATCTCCTTGTAATCTAAAGAGCAACCCACTGTGTAAAAGTCTTCTACCGAAGCTGAATATCGTGTGATTCGTGTCATTATATTGGATACACTATTGACAAAGTACTTTGGATTTATCAACTTCTTAACAGGCTTGGTGGTTTAGTCCATTCTTCAGCCAATGTTTATTGTGATAACATAGGTGCTAAGTATCTCACCACGAGTCCAATTCATTACGATTGCAACAAACATATCAAAGTTGATTATCACTTTGTTCATGAAAGAGTTCAACCTGGTAATCTAATTGATTATATACCTTACGGGACTACAATTAGTTGATATTTTCACTAATCATAGTGTATTTAGTGTAATTATATTATAATGTAATTTTCCCATTCTGCTATAAATATACATCACAAGGCCCCAGTCCGGGTAAACTTGACTTACATTCACACATAGGCGGCAACTTGTGGCCGCAACACCCAAAGACTCCGCAATGCCCACTTATTTTATTCTTTTACATAAACTGAAGTAGGAGCTGACTGACATGGGTAGATTGATTGACACACTTTGGAATTCGTGTATAACACACAATCCTCCTCCTTTTAAAGTTTATCTTGACTCCCCGTCCCACATATAGCATGAGGTATACTTCTTTGAATCGAGAAGTTTTTTGTACGTGTTAGGATAACTCTTGGTTACTATTGACCCTGGCCACAATTGGCGTATCTGTTCAAGTCATTTCACCTAATCACTTTGTCACATTAATCAACAATGTAAAAACACAATAACTGTGAAAATAACAATAGCTTAATTACATTAATAATAAATATATTTGTAACTCGGCCAAATAGAAAACATAAAATACAACTATATACTCTTATTCATTGATAAATTGACCACCTGAAATAAACAAGTAGTGATACTCTACGCGCGCATAGCAATCTAAATTAGTGGTAAGTTGATGGGTTCTTCAACTTTTAAAACCCTCAAAGTAAAAAACCAAGAATTGTGATATTAGAGCTATACGTCATGTCCGAATAAAGAGTAAAGATAGTACAAAGAGCGTGTTTAAAAATATAACTCATAATAATATGAATAAATCTCATTTTGGGTAAATTTAGCTCGCGTTACTTGAAATGTGATCTCATGTACTATAAATGTTTGGGAAAAGGGTCAGATAGGCCCTCGAAGTTACATAAAAAGGTCAAATAAGCCCTTATATAGGAGGCTCTGTCCGGCCGTCGCCATTTGGGGGGGTCCCGGTGGAATGTTTTGATGAAATTTTTTTAGCATCTTGTTCATTAAGTCTAGTTTACTCATACCAAATTTCAGCTAAAACTTCAATCGGGAAGGCATTCAAATGAATTCTTGAAGATAACTGTGCAGTTAAAAGCGCAATTATCTTCAAGAATTCATTTGAATGCCTTCCCGATTGAAGTTATAGCTGAAATTTGGTATGAGTAAGCTAGACTTAGAGGCCGTTTGGCAACACTGTTTTTCGGCTTATCAGGCTTATCAGCCAAAATTGAATAACTATTCTATATATACATAAACCAAAATTGAATAGCACGTGGAAGAAAGAGGAGGGATCTACTGGCCTTTGATTAAGAGATGAAGGTAGCAATTTATTGTTGATGAAGAATTTGTTATGATCTGAGAAGGTGCTATGGACGATGATGATCTTGAGAAGGTGCATTTTTAGCGTAAATACAGTCTTGGATTCGATATTCCGTTCATTAGGTAATCATCCCTTAATATTTTGATGCCGGCAGTTGCTAGAGAAAGTAAGGAGGCTTTAAATTAATAGATGAAGGTGGAAAGTGAATGTAAGCAATAAAAATTGATGGTGCACTCTCGATGAACGAATTGAAAGAAAATTGGAAATTAAATCTGAAAATAAAGGTTGTAAAGATACACAATATACCTAATTGAGATGAAAAAATTGAGATGGAGTGCAACACCCATATTTTCGGCCGTAATGAAACTGAAGAAAAAAACTCTCGATGAAGAATGGTGAGGTGTGGAGATTGAGATGACGACACATATTTGTTAGAAGCAACGAGGAAGACATGATTGGTCATGAGCGTGGGCAATTGAAAGATTACGGGTAAATGGTGAGACAACAGAGATGTGTTTTGATCGAACGGTTAGGATGTTGCTCGGTTAGGCGGGAATACTCTTCAATGAACAATAAACACTGTTCAATGAACATTAATTTATTGTAATGCTTTTATGTATATATATATATATATATATATATATATAGATAGATGGTAATACTCCATCCAGGGGCGGATCTGGCCCATGGCCAGGAAGGGCCTAGGCTTATGGTCAAAAAAATGTAATTACTAGTATATATGTTATGTATATATTAATATAGTATTTCAGTAGTTATGTTATAATAAGCCTTAATGCCGAAGGGTGGACATAAGTTATGTTGGCCTGATGGAATTGTGCTTATCATGCAATGCAAGAAGTCAAGAGTTCAATTCCCATGGACACATTGTAGCTTAAGATTTATTATTTTTTGATACACTGTCTAAATTTTGAAGACAATGTTTAATGTTTTAATTAATATTTCCGATTTTTCTTCTTTTAATTTGTCCCACATGGAAGAAGAGAAGGATTATTGGACTCCATCTCCAACAGTTTTATACATTGGACTTTTTGAAAAATTAATAGTTCAAATCATTGGAATTTTGAATATTAGTCTAAAAAATTAATTAGGTCAATTTATTAGGCTTTTGGTTATTCGCCCGGAAAAGTAATTACTTCAATTCATTGGGCTTTTGAATATTATCTTGAAAAATTAATTAGTTCGATTCATTAGAATTTTAAATATTAGTCTGAAAAAATAATCAGGTCAATTTATTGGTCTTTTGAATATTTATCTGAAAAATAATAATTCAATTCATTGTGCTTGGTGTGTGAAATATAATTAGTTTACTTATTTACATAGACCAGAGACTATGGAGTCAAAGAAAATTGATTTTCGAGAAATCGACTTGAAAATTGGTACAAAATATTTCAGTAATTGTGCCAATTTCGGTTCGGTATCTATGACTGTTTTAAGATAATGAAATTGTCGGTAAAATATTTTTTCTTTTATATTTCTGTAATATTATTGAACTACATTTTGACAGTTTTTGCAAAATAAGTTACGTGATTAAATTTTTGCCCCACCTCAATGCAAATGCTAGATCCGCCCCTGGCTCCATCTGTCCCGAAAACAAGTTTTGGGTTTGACTTCACGGGTTTTTAGGTAGAACAAGAAATAAAGTTGATTTTTCAAAAATGCCCTTGGGTAATTTAAATGTGTAGTAACCAAATGGGTATAATAAAGGGGGTAATGAATAGTGAAATGAGGGCAACACACACCAATTCAATGAAATGATGTGTGTAAAATGGTAAATTACTAATAAAAACTTACCAAATATAGAAAGAAGTTGACGGTGAAACTTCATTTTGGGACATCCCGAAAAGGAAAGGTGAAACTTCTTTTCTGGACGGAGGGAGTATATTAGCGTCTTTTAGTTTTTCCTCCCTCATATTCGCTAATTTAAATTGAGTCCATTGGATAGCCTATAATTTCAGCTTATCAGTCTTATCAGCCAGTTTTATTAACAAATCTATAACTTTTATTTTTCACGCACTTAATTGTAAAATAATCAAAATAAGTAACACTTGAGTTAATTTTCGGATTGAATTGGTCGAAGTAACTGATCATTTTAACTACTTTCATCTATTTTTTTTGTTTGATCAATAAAATATATCTTAAGTATATTTTTTCTGTAATTAATTTAACATTTTCCTCCAATTAATTTGCTTCAACTAGAATTCCATTAATTTGATCATATTTGGCTGATTCAACTAGTTTGCCAAATGAACTCTTAATGTGGAGTTGTTACTTTTCATGTCCTAAAATTTACTCCGTAATAAAAAGTGAGATGCAGTCATGCACGTAATGGATCATTATGTATTAGTTGGATTAACTTCATCCTGTAACCAAATTTAAGCAATATAGATAGGACTACATCATACTAAATTTAAATAATATGGAGTAATAAAATATACTAAAATACACTAAATTTGTATAAGTATATATATGTGAAGTATATCCTTCCTCCAAAAGGTTGAGTGCCCAACTTCAATGGTCTCCCCTATCCGACCAAACATATGTGAAGTTGTAAATGGTAACTCAACCAACTCAACGGTAGTAGACCTCATACTTGTGCGCACCAGAAGTCCAGCTCATCATACTATATATGAGCTGTAACATCCACGTGATCGATGCGAGTTTTAATAACTGATCATTCCTCTAAACTTCTCACCACTCGACCAATTAAATTACACATGTAGGTAAGTAGGAATTGGATGGAGGAATTGGATGGAGGACATGTACTGTACCTAAAATCCAAGATATGTGGTAGGAGTGCCATATGAGTGTACCATAAATCTGGGACCAACATATCTCTTACTGTCTTACACACCACATTGTGTAAAATTTGGTCATACCCTTTAATGAAAGTTATATTGACCACTTTGTTTTGTTGCCCCACATATCTCCATTAACATGACCTCATCACTTCTGCACCAAATCTCTCCCATCAGATTACCTCATCTCATGTTTATGCAATGCAAAAGACTATCCTCATTTTGAACCTTAGGTTGTGGATCTATGGCCCTCTTCCGCTCCTTACACCTGTGTTTACACTAAAGTAGTTAAACGATGATTGATCATTAGGTTTAATTTGGTGACATCAATGTTTGGTCCACCGAACGTCACATATTTATAAAGACAATTCTTTATAATCAATTTATGTATATATGATGTCACAAATAAAATATGTTTGTCATTATATCATCATTACCCTAGTGCTGCAAAGGCTTCCACCTACGGTGTGGTAAGAGAGGTCGGATGTACGCAGTCTTACCCGTGTATTAAAGTACAAAAAGATTGGTTCCGGATGACCAAAATGAAAATTGCGCCGAAAATTGCATAGACCGACTAGTGTTTCATAACAAAGAAATGCAGACAGTTTAGTGAGCAATTTTGTTTTGTTCCATATATTCTCAAATCTCAAGCAAAAAAATAGTGAGCCTTTGACTCCATTGCAATTGATAGAAAAATACTCTCTCTGTAACTTAAAAATCTTCCCACTTTCCCTTTTCGTCCGTAACAAAAAAATCTTCTCATTTCTAAATCTTCATATCACACCTTCAATAATTTTGAAAATAATACACTATTACAACTACTTTTTTTGGATTTATCCTTACTTCCATCACACTATTCTAATATCTTCCCATCATATCCTCAATAATTTATGTTCCCTTTCACTATTCTTAATATACCTACTTTTCAAATGAGAAGATTTTAAAGTTACGGAAGGAGTATATATGTTTGTGATTGAATGAAATTCCAACGTCACATTACTCATCTTTCGTAAATTATTTCACAGATTAGGATGCATTATATTCCACCAATGTTACGTTTTTGATACAAAACCAATCATGTTTGTGTAACTGATCTCTCAAATATTTAGTTGTCACCAGTATGAATGTTTACGTATCCCTCTTATGAAGTAGTCCGATTTGATCTAATCCGATTATTAAGGTAATTTTTTTTTTACTATTATCTAAGAGAGGTTTGTCGAATCTCATCACAGGCCTGGTTTAAATTTGGTCAGGTCTTTTCAGTTTGAACAATTGAACAAGTTTAATCTCGGACTATAACCACTTCATGTGTAAAACATCTAACACCTAATAATTTTGTAGAACTTCAAATAATTTAAATATAATTTGCTTGGATCAAAACATTAGGAAAAATGCTAAGCATAGAGTGGGACGTAGGGAGATAATTTTATTATAGAAATATTAGTGTATTTAATCCTCCCTTGTTATAAAAGTGCCACTCTTTGGGGCTGTTTACTTTTTTCTATTAAGTCATCTATGAATTAAGACATTTGTCTGTATTAAAGCGTATGTCTGGATTAAGTGATATTTAAATATAAAACTATTTCTTTTTTGTGCTGAATAAACATCTGATTAAAGTAATTTAATCAATTTAATATCATTATTGAGTGATGTTGACAATGAATAATGTCATTTACTAACATAATCCTCCGTCTCTTTTTAATCGCAACATGTTGAATTTTACACTATTCACATGTTCTACTTTGACTACATTTTATATTATTATTTTATGAAAATTATTTTTTTGAAATTATATTGTTCAATTCATCTCATTACAAATTTTCAAAATCTAATTTTTAAATATTTTTTACTAATAGGGATTAAGATATAATTGCGGTCAAAGATGTGTGTTGGCAAGTGTGAAATGTTGACCGTTGCAACTAAAAAAGAACGGAATAAGTATATCTATTCCATATTACGTATAAAAAACCCGATAGAATTTAGGTCTTAATGAATGAATGTCTTAATGGGAAGAACTGCTTTTTTCACAGCTTACTGATTAAATCAGTTTTTGACTAAATAAATAAGTTGTGTTTTCATTAAGTTGTAACTTAACATGATTTAATGACTGAATTTAGTCATCTTTTTCATTAAGTCATTACGAGCACCAGTGGTGGGTAGAAAAATTCACACTTAGCTTGGAAACACAACTTATCTAACAGCCAAAAAAACAGCCAAGATATGTTGTACCCAGTGCCGTACGAGTGTACCACAAATCTGGGACCAAGACATCCTGACACAGCACATTGTGTAATACTTGTTCACATATCTGTAATGAACGGTATATTGACCAATTTATTGTTGTTGCCCTACCTATTTCCATTCACATTACCTTTGGTCTGCACCCATCTATTCCATCATATTACCTCACGTTTCTCCAATGCAACATCATACTTATCTAGCTCCCAAAAAGTGCATTTGTAAATCTTTTTGCAAATATGATCATCTAGCCCTCGGGCTAACTTGAGTGACCGTGTAACCATTGCTCTTGACTGTTTCATCTCATATCATGAAGAATATGCTCAAAAACCTCCATAAAAAAATTAGACCCGGAAGGCCCTCGGCTCAAACAGGCTTGTCTAGCCGCAAATCCCGTTAATCCGGACATTATTATATACTACGTATACTGACACTACTAACATTAAATCCTGACTCCGCACCTGCCTCAAGTGAGCGGCGTGAAATTTAAATTCTTGCTGGCAACCTAAGGACACACGTAATGAATGAATTAAGAGTGAATTCTTGTGCCCAATGGCACATAGGTGAGTATATAGCTCATTATTCGAGCTACTCAGATTCATTTTCCTCAAGCTAAGGTTTGAGGTAGGTTATTTAGAGCCCACTATAATCCGGTGACATCGCAATTATTTAATGAGTGAATTCCCCAAACAGGAGTAAAAAAATAGACTACATGCAAAGTATGATCTATTGTAGTGTTTTGAATGCTCTAAATAGGAGTAATTGGGTGTGTTTGAACAAAAGCACCCCTGCAAGCCTATTGCCGCTGCCACAATGGCTGGTGCCACTTCATGCCGGTCACCGAAGCTCCATCACCTCCGATCACTAGATCCCCCCTAGGCCGCCGCGGAATCCGCCACCGGCTTTGGTCAGCTGCCACCAAAGGACCGACCTTGATTATACAAGCGGTCCAACCCAGCTGGTCGCCAACTCACTCTCCTTTATGGGAGGTCTCAGATTATATGGTTCAATTCTCAATGGAGTGAGATTAATCTCAGTTTACCCCATGCCTCCCAAACCCCCCTCCCCTGACGCCCTTTGTGGTAAAAAAGAAAAAAAAAAAAAGAAAAAAAAAAACAAGGGAGCTAATGTGGCAATTAATTATATTAGTTAATTATATAAAGGTAGAAAGGTACGTAATGTTTAGTTCTCTTTAAGGAATAACAAAATATACTCCTATTTGTGCAATTACGTTTAAATTTAATCTTATTCCGGACAATTTATTTCTCTTATTTAGTACGTAGTAGTACATATTTAAAAAATAATAATGGTTGACTTTGATTATTTAAAAATATACTTCCTCCGTTCTCTAAAAGATGTCTCACTTTCTATTTTGGGATGTTCTTGAATATTTGTCCCTCTTTCCATTTTTGGAAAGTTTTTTCAATAAATATACTTATATACCCTCATTATCTTTCCTACTTTTTCATTCAAACACAACCTATTACACCTTTTACACTAACCCTATTACTTTCCCCTTAAAACTTAGCTTGTGCCAAACTCTATACCCCATTTATTAGAGAATAGGGGAGTATGTTTTAAACAATTTATAAAACAAATACCAATTGTACACATTCAAAAAAGTTACTCCGTAAGAAAACTTTTCATGTTATAAACTCACACACGTAGTATTATATACGTAGTAATATACTCCGTAATGTTTAAAAAATCAAAATTAGCAACTCAAAAGTCAATATGCACGCAGCTAGCTAGGTGCATATATCACCAACCATACGTACGGAGTATCAAGTAGAATACCAGTATGGAATAATAAACTGTACGTGGGATCAACTACTACTCCTCAAGTGGTAGAAAAAGGCTACATACTATCCATCTAAGTTATACTCATTCCATCCTCTTTTAAATGTCTCCTTTTACCGTATTGGGATGTCCCTATTTAATTGTATCCTATCTTATTTGGTAAAGTTTCTGTGGCTCAAAATCATTCTTACTTTATTCTTATTTTATCAATTAATATCAACTACACAAACCCACTTTTCTTAAAACTCGTGTCATCTTCTTCCGTCCAATAAAAAGGGGACGGAGGTAGTATATTATTACTCGGTTTCCCTATGCTATCGCACAAACTTATGTACTATACACATACTCTTTTGCATTATAAATAGAGACATACATTTACTCTTTCGTCACTCAATTCAATGCCAGGCCATGTCCTTTATCTCTCTTCAACTTATCCTTCTCCTTCCCCTGACATCTCAAGTGCTAGTCTTAAGTGAAACCCTAATATCTTAGAACATTTTACCCAAGTTACAAGCTAGCTAAGCTACACATATATAGTACATCTATCTTGATTCTTGAGATAATATCTATCCTAACATGTCCACCATAGTGTATCACCATCACCACCAGCATGGGAGAAACAATAATAGCAATAGTAATCCGCAATCATGTTACGAGACTGCGCGTATGAGATTGAGGGTTCCCTCATCCCCGCCTCCATGTCTAAACGTTCAGGAAGACGGTGATGGATGGAGTTCAATCCAAAACCTCTCCTCTAACGCCACCGCTCCGTGCGTCCACTGTCATAAGTCGTCTTACCGTAGAATGAGCGAAAAAAGTCTCGCCATGTGTACCGAGATTCTCGGGAGTGAAACCGGTGCTGATTTTATCGACAACGACCTTCTCTCGAGCTTGCTTTCCTCCCACACGTCGCCAGGCATGCAACAAGACGATAAACTAATCAGAAAAAGTTCAAACATGAAGAGAAATTCAAGGAGTAATAACTTTCCACCTCCACTTTCAACAATAAGGGGGGCTACTTCTCTACACCTCACATCACGCCGGGAAGGCGGAAAGTTGGAAATCATGGCGGCTGAGGTCCCGTCGAGGAACTCCTTCCGTGAGGTCGACCCGAGCAATGGTCGCCTCAAGATTTTCTATTTCAGTGACAATGAAACCAACATGGAGGGGAGTGAAAAAGAAGAAGTCCAGGGAAAGAATACTATTGAAGAAGTTGAAAAGGGAATAGAAAAATGTTTGGGTGGGAGCGGTTGCAAGGAAGGTGGACATGGTAATGAGGGACGGTCGTCCCATTGGGAGAAGCCGTTGTTGGTTGCAATTTAAATAAACATTATTGTTGTTGTTTTTGTTCTTATTATTGTGATCACAACTACAATTATGGTAATGATAATTATTATAATTCAAAATCGGGGTTCTCTAAGGCCATATTTAATTTTGAAAACTAGGAAGTACTACAAACATAGTGTCCATGCATCTTCAATCTTCAAGACACGAACCTTCCTACACTAATATTGCAGGAGGTATTTTTCACTAATATTCTTTCTTTCCCAAAAGAGGACATATGAGCCCGTTTGGTAACAATGATTTTTGACTTATCAGGTTTATCAGTCAACTTTTCCACCAATCATGTCACTTTTGATTTCGTGCGCTGAATTGTGCTATACTAAGAAAAAGTAAGATTGTAGTTACTTTTCTGGCTGTATTGGCTGAAGTTACTGTAGAGGACTATTTTAACTATTTTTCATATAATTTTTTCTTTATTTTATTAAAAGAAATATATTTTAAATATTCATTTTTCACAAATCAGCAGAATCAACCAATACAGCCACTTCAACCAGAACTTCATAAATTTCAACAGAATCAGCCAATACAGCCGATTTGGGTATTACCAAGCGGGTACATAAACTTCCTTCTACAAAATAAATTTGATTTCTTTTATTAATTTATTAAAACAAATTTAGTCTTATTTCAGATAGAAAACATATGCTCAGTATAATTGCTTCTTCACAAAAAAACTCCGTATATATATAATTGCCAGTTGTTTGCTCTCCGTCTATGTTTTACTCCAAATTTTACAATTTCTTGTTGTCTCTCTAATTTACCTTGACTTCACTTTGTATATATACTATTAATGCATACATGGATATATTTGTACATATTACGTATATTACTACGTATTAAGTTCCAGCTAACCGGTATTGATAGGAATATTCCGGGTTTTGGACCGGACCGGCAAAATCAGTATAACAAAAATTCTCGGACCGAAGACTGGAGCAGTATGTAACCAGTTTGGGTCCAGTCTGTAATGAGAGTTGTCTTGTTCAATTGGATTTCCTTTCTGAATCGGATTATCCTCGGCCCTAATCTTATCAATCAGTTTTTACCACATACATATCTTTTGATTGGGTAATTCTATTTGCAGCCCCTAAATTGCTATTTACAGCCACAAAATCAAGTAAATATCTAATTTGCCCTTCCACTTAAATCAGCTCATCCTATGAAGCACGGATACTTCCCTAGGGTAGCGTATCGGCGTATCGGATACGTTCCCGTATCCGATACTCTAGGATACCCGTACCGTACGTTCCCGGGCCGTATCTGCAATTTTTAAAAGTTTCCATTTTTTTTTTGTAATTTTTTGAAAGTTTCCGATACTCGTATCCTGACGGATACCCGTATCAACCATTTTTTAAAAAAAAAATCCCAAAATTTACTTAATAAAATTCTAAAAAAATGAAAATCTAAAACTACATTTTACTTGATAATCAAATAATGGGCCTATATGGCTATATCCGAATTAAGTCATTAACTCATACTCCGAAGTGGGTACTTGCACTTTTAATTTCAAGATTGTAGTTGTTTGACTTATTTCTCATTTTAAATTAATGATTCATTGACTACATTTATATTTCGAGATACACTAGTGTATATGAGAAATATTATGAATTTATTACTAAGTATCTTGAAAAAGGAAAATGCTTCAATGCAATAAATGGGTAGACATCATAGGATATTATATGTATGTATATATATATATATATATATATATATATATATATATATATATATATATATATATATATATATATATTCAAAAAAAATATTTTTAATATTTATAAATAGACCCCTATAACTTTTAATATTTGTAAATACACCCCCATAACTTTTAATATTTATAAATGTGGCCCCGTATCCGTATCCTACTTTTTTTGGTTTTGACGTATCCCCGTACCCGTTTCCGCGTTTCCGCGTTTCCGCGTACCGGTATCGGTGCTACATAGCGGCTCATCCATTCATATCGAGAGCCTCCTCCACTTGTTCATCCCATCTAAAGCGCTCCTCAAATGTCCTCAGCTGAAGAACGAATGAAGGCCACACTCCTGAATGACTATTTGAGATCATTCTAATTCTTTTTGTTTAGCTTCTAAATTTGGAGTAATATTGTGTGGTTTTCTATTAACAAAGGATTTTGAGAATTACCACGCTTAATTGATATACTAATATACGATAGTATTCCACTAATTTGTACTGTATGTGTTGTTTTACAAAAGCATTGTATACAATTCTTACGGCGGATAAAAAAAAGCTTAATTAACTAATACTCCGTATTGCTTTACCACCGTCAAATTGATCTTGTAGCAGATCTCATCCTTCAATCTATTACCATTTTTGGGCATAGTTTCAATACTCTGAAAATATTTTGTTAAGGGGGCATATGAAGTATTGGGTGGTGGTGCCAGTAATTTCCTTTGGTGTAGAAAGGCTATTGCTGGGTTTGAAGTGATTTCCTTGACCTAGCAGCTGCTGCGATGATATGCCAAAAAGGAGAACCAGGCGAAGTTCATCCTATCTTTTGTACTCCGTATGTTTTATCTCTTGTCATAGCAGTCTTTACAGGGAAGGGCAAAATAGGTATTATATTATTTTGTGGCTGTAAATAGTAAATTGTGGGCTGCAAATAGAATTGCCCCTTTTGATTTAGCACGTTCAATTATGTAGTAATAAAAAGTGAGAATTGCATTTATAGTCGCATAACTTTCATACATGTGCCCATTATCAGTTTTGTAACTTTATGTCTTAAAATATACTACTACCTCCGTCCCAAATTGATTTGCAAATTTGAATTTTCTTGGTCAAATAACTTCATTTTTTAATTGCTTAATTAGGATGTCAATTTTTAATTATATTCAAATTTGGAGTTTTAAACTTTGAAGAGAATTTAATGTAGTTTCTGAATATGTAAATTTTAATTATTAAAAATTGAGTTAATTATCGATTAGGAGGTTTGACTTTTATTAGTGGTTGACGTTCAATTTGAAAAACAATTTGGGACGGAGGGAATAATATATAAATGAGAATTGCATTTATAGTCGCATAACTTTCATACATGTGCCCATTATCAGTTTTGTAACTTTATGTCTTAAAATATACTACTACCTCCGTCCCAAATTGATTTGCAAATTTGAATTTTCTTGGTCAAATAATTTCATTTTTTAATTGCTTAATTAGGATGTCAATTTTTAATTATATTCAAATTTGGAGTTTTAAACTTTGAAGAGAATTTAATGTAGTTTCTGAATATGTAAATTTTAATTATTAAAAATTGAGTTAATTATCGATTAGGAGGTTTGACTTTTATTAGTGGTTGACGTTCAATTTGAAAAACAATTTGGGACGGAGGGAATAATATGTAAAAATAGTGAGATGCAGGTAAATGGGTTATAACTATGTGTTAGTTGGATTAATTTTATTCTATAACCAAATTTAAGCAATACATATAGGAAAAATCACACTTAAAATTAATTATAATAATAATAATTTAGATTTAGCATGTTACGTGGTACTACGTATTACGGAGTAGTATATTACGACGGATGTTATACGAGTGCCTAATATTACTTCCGCGTTGAACTTTGAATTAGATTAGAAAATAAGGAAAATAAAAGTTGTGTTGTTGAGGTTTGTTTAGATGAGAGATAAATGAGCAGAATCACAAATTAGTTGTTTTAATCGAAATTGGAAAAGTAGTCAATTTTTCTCAACAATGGAATAGGGAAAATTGTCAAAATCTAACATACTCCCACGTCCCGGAAAATGTTTCCCAGTTTGACTTAGATCGGAGTTTAAGAAAGTGAGAATAAAGTGTAAATGTATGATTGTGATTGAGTAAGAAAAATGTAAATGAATGATAGCAACACAAATCTTTTCAAAAAGAAAAATGAGAAGATTTTTTTGGAACATCCAAAAAATTTAAGTGTGAAGATTTTTTTAGGACGGAGTTACTACAACATAATGAGTAAAATATGGAGTAGAAAGAAGGGAAAGTTCCCGAAATGGGACAAAAAACGTTTGTAAATTTCAAAATAGGACTGTCATGTTTTTATTCCCAAAATAGGAGTAATTACTGTCAAGTTTGGAAAATACTGTCATGTTTAAAGTCTGGTACTGCCAAAACATGACAGTAATTAGTCCCATTTTGGGAATTAAAAACATGGCAGTCCCATTTCGGAATTTACAAACGTTTTTAGTCCTATTTAGGGTAAATTCTCTAGAAAGAATTGGATAAAAACCTGCGCGCGCTGTACCTAACATCCAAGATAATCCGTATGTTATGATGCTGTACGAGTGCCATATGAGTGTACCACAAATCTGGGACCAATACATTTCTTTCACAGCAAATTGTGTAAAGTTGGTCGCAACCTTTAATGAAAGTTATATTGACTACTTTGATTTGCTGCCCCACCAATCTCCATTAGCATGACCTCATCGATCAGTTTTGTAGGCCTGTGGCCAATATCTCCCGTACATGATCTCATATTTCTCAAATCCAACCCGCACTTGTAGCTCAACTAGTAAAGCGATGAAAAAGCTGGAGAAATGATCAAGAATCAAAATTCGCAGCAGTCGTGTGGAGGTCAAAATTCGCAGCAATCGTGTGCTGAACAAGGTCTCTGGTGCGCACGAGTATCATGTCTATCACTATTATGATTGATTGAGTCACCTGATTTACAACATCCCATGTGCTTTGTTGGATCGGGGCGTGGGGGGGGGGGGGGGGGGCTTGGGGATTCAACCTTTTGGACAAATGTTTCTGCAATCCATATACATATAGAGCCCGTTTGGAGAACTCTGTTTTCGGCTTATCAGGCTTATCAGCCAGCTTTTTCACCAAACACGTAACTTTTACTTTCGCGCGCTGAATTGTGTAATAAGCCGAAAAAGTAAGGTTGGAGTTACTTTTCTGGCTGTATTGGCTGAAGTTACTGTAGAGGACCATTTTAGCTATTTTTACATATAATTTTTTCTTTAATTTATTAATAAAATATATTTTTAAAATATTTTTTTCTTAAATCAGCAGAATCAGCCAAAACAGCCACTCCAGCCAGAATATCATAAATTTCAGCAGAATCAGCCAAAACAGCCGATTTTGGTGCTACCAAACGGGCTCATAAGATCAAAACATATTCATTTCCAAGAAAATACTACGT